GAAACAGATGTGTTTCCCATTCAAGCCTATCGTAGCCTGTACCATGATAAGTCAAACTCCAAGCTGTAGTATGACCCTAACACCCTGTTTACAGAATTATCTAATCAATTTCATGTATCAACAAAAGAAACATTACACCGACATTTAGAGATGAATGTGGGTAAATAACATTTTGTTACCTTGAGCCTCATCTTTCCATGTTATGTTTTTCCATTTATGATGATGATGATACACAACTCAACAAAATGTAAAACGTAGATCTCGTTGTTTTCTGCTACGTAATCAACCTTAAAACCAAACTCTGCAGGCTTTCATCAAAGTCTAGGATGCAGAAAGGACGAGATGTTGAAGCTGTTTCTGACCTTTTCTCTGGAAAAAAGGAGGTAGTTATCACATATAGGTGCAGGGCCGTGCAAAAGCAGCAGACGTTATGTACAAGAGGTAATCGTGCTTTTAGGCACGGTTAGTCCTGGTCAGTGTGACCGCGGGCCGTGCCGGCCAGCGTGGGAATGGCGCAGCGGGGGGCAATCGTGCTTGAGTACAGCACGGTACAGATGGCCAGTGTGACCGCGCCCTGAGGAAGACCTCCAGTCGAAACGTTGTGATTGTGATTATTTACAATTTTTTTTGTGTGGCTTTTGAGCAGATGTTCTGGCCTGTCTTCTTCCTGAGAGGAGAAATATACATATCATTTCAAAAAAGTTGTGGCAATTTAATTTGACTTGAAGTTATTTTTGTCTGCTTCAAATTATGAATATTCATAATTTTTTCCCCTTATATTTGAAAAAAGGGTCTTATATATTTCCTGTTGTGAAAACATTGCTACCAGTTTAGGAAATGACTTTTTCCAAAGCGACTACTATGTGTGTTATTGTAAATAAAGAGAGCTTATTTGCATATAAACTTTACTTGTTTCTGTTGAAATTAGAGTTCAAGGTGAAACAACACAAACCATAGAGGAGAGTTATTTTTCTCGGGAGCTTATCATGTATGTTGTGGCGCACACGCTGCATCGCAACACCCAACAAACACCCTTGTGTTTGTAAAGTATCTGAAAGAATCTGACAGCCATGCAAACATCTGATGCTGTCTGCAGCCAGAGACACAGACAGACGAGCCATTCAGGAGCACGGCTGTGTCTGGATTCAGGGAAGTGTTCGCCTGCTGCTGTTACTGGGTTGCAAAGTGTTGCTCCACCTTCATTCTCATTTGTATCTCACAAGCAGGTTCATCCCAATGTGAAATTAATCTCTATTGTAAAATAAGAAAGAAGGGAAAATCTTTGTTAAAGAAGAAATCCTAAAAGCCACCATTGGTAGCCATATCATTCAATATATATATATATATTTTAAAGTGTTCAGCATTTTCTACACTTTTAGCTCAGAACATTCAAGAAAAATAACATTTTCCCGTCGTAATACTGATCTTCATTTCAGGGAATGTCACAGTGGGGAGATATTAAACCTAATTCCCTCCCACCTGTATATATTTTTTTGTTTGTTGTATTACTCAAGGGCACCTCGGTCCAAAACAAAAAAAAAAGGCTCCTCGTACCCTATCATAATTTTTATATTTAAGGAGCTGGAGCCAGCAAATTGTTTGACATTTTTTGCTTTTAATCATCTTATGATGGATTTGTTTAAGCTCCACTCTAAAACATGAAATAGAAATCCAACAGTGTATTTCTTCTTTCATATTAGCGCTGCTGATCCCCTTATGTATCTAAAGCTTAGGTTTAGATTTGGTACTGACTTATTTAAGTCTTCAGTAAAAATATAAAATGTAAGAGAATATCTTGTAACAGGTGCAAAGCAATGAGCTTAACAACAACATGTACAGTATCTTAAAAAAAAGAGTTTCCAATGAATCAGTAGCTTATACGAGAAATGTTGCACTCCAGCAATATTTTGAAATACCTTCACTTTTACCTTTTTGAAATCACCTTCTTAAACTTTATATGTTGCAGAAACATTTTGTAAGATTGGCAACTTTCTCCAACGCAACAGAAACGTCTGCTCATCAACTCACTCATTTCACTCCATTTTTAATATATTAATGCCCGTTTCATTTAGCTGATAGAGGGTGAACATGCTCAGTCTTTCTATTGTATGTGTCTAAGTGTGTGTGTATGAATACGTGTATAGGTTACTGTATATGTGTTTATATTTAATTTTGTTTTGAAATTGTGTAATTCGATTTGTTTAGTTGATTTATTTGTCTCTTAAGAGGTGAGGTCCCTTGTTTAAGCCTGTTGGCTTCTTGACCGCTCCTGACACACCTTTTATGTTTTTGTTAATCCTATTTTGATGTATTCTTACATGTGTGCTAATAAATAAATAAAAAATAAAAATACTTTTTTCCCCTCTATGTTAGTTCACTTTGGCTTTGACCTACACTATTTCTTATAATCAAGTTAACATCAGTTTCAGTGCAAAGTGCAGAGCATGTTTACAGAAAGATTTTTAAGATATCTTTTGCCCCCTTTTCCGTGATTGTTCAATCAGTGCTGATGGTTAATAAAGTCAATTAAAAGAGCAAATACATTTCAAATTCTACAATTAAAAACTGAAATGTGATATGTGACATATGTGATATTATCTCAGACCACATCTGGTATCTTCTCTAGTAAATGAGTGAGCCGTGCAAGAAACTGATATTTTATGCATGACTGCCGCTCAGCTTTACCTAAAAAAACGTTTAAAAAAAAAAGTTTCAAGAAGCAGAGAGGTTGCTGGAAACCAGTTGTGCAGCTGCAACTCAAATCCACTCTTCAATCAAGTGAAGTGTAGAGAGAGAGAGAGAGAGAGAGAGAGAGAGAGCGAAAGAGAGAGAGAGAGCACACTGATTAGAGGTCAGCTGTTGGATGATTTGGAGTGCTGTTGTAATTCAAAGCCTTGCATCATTTGCCTTGACTAGAAGTGTCTTTAACATATAAGCTATCTGTCATATTTATTTCATATTTTTCTTTCAGGGAGCAAAACGTGAACTGCTCAACCATTCAAGCTTACGATCTTCTTCAAAGCAGCTCAGCCAAAGTGAAATTGAGGCTGCAACAAAAACAAGAGCTGGATTCTTGCAGGAACAGAGTCTCAATGGCTGCTATACACCCAGTCAGCTTTCTTTCATTTAATCAACATATTTTCCCTCAGGTATACCTACAAAAAAAACATCTGCTTGCTGTCTTATATCGCAACCCTCGATTAATGGCTAAAAGCAGAGGATCTTTGTGTGTTTGTGTGTTTTCTTCTACCTCAACCACAAAACTCGTGACCTAAGAGTGAGCCTTTTTACCAAGCGGCAACCTCTGGTGTTGAAAAAATAAAGCCATTGCAGAAGTGCAAAAATCTGCAGTTCCTCGAGCGTCCGTTTGATATTAGCATATTTAGAAAATCAACATTTTCATGTGTTATTTAACATGTGTTTTTTAAAATGATCCAATGGCCTCATTAAAAAAAAAGTGTTGTAGCCTATTTAGTAGCCTATAAAAGACTAAAGGTGTTAATTCACTAAATATTTAAAACACAAGTTAAAAGTTAAAGTTCAGTCAACTTTTAAAAGTTTCATAAGAATGAAGAATGAAAAAAGTGCATTAAAAGGCATTGATCAACTTTTAATATCACTAACCGAACTGTCATGGCTCAAAGTTCATGTCCGTTTGATATATTTATGGGAACTTTTACTTTTTAGCACCTGGGTGCCATCCAGACGCTAATGCTAGCATGCTAATGAGCTAGTCGCCTATGGCAGCAGAGGTTTGATAATGTTTATCCTATAATGCTAACTTGTGAACTCGTCCTACACCATAACCATAAGTAGTGCATGCCAATGGGCTTCAGTGGCTTTGACCTTTTTGATAAAAAGCTTTGAAAATCTATCTTATTCTTCACTTTTTTTCCTTAAGTTGGCTTCCTGAGCTTCATGTGGGTGACTTCAGTTAGCATGTTTTTCAGGATAACAGTTAGGCTACCTGGCATAATGCTACATCATGAGACTGAAAATAGTAGACTTGGCACTCTTTAGTTTCAAACCTGCTTTTATTTAGCTAATACAAGCATTGTTTCTCATAAAACAGTGATCATAATTTATGATTGACATCAGCCTGATAAGTTATCTGGCAGGTAAACCGACTAACATCCAGTTTGTTAGTAACAGCGTTAGAAAATAAGCTACTTCCACAGGCTAGCTTTATGAAATATCAAGCATTTCCCCAAATTACCCCCACATTCTGTTTCTTTACTATTATTATTTCTCTACATGAACTTTTTATGCTTTTTTGTGAGACTTTCTGTTGTGGCGTGTGCTGGTCTGATGCTAGCCTACTGCTGGAGCTACATGGCCGCTGGGAAAGCGTCACATAAACTACTATGGATTCATTTGGTGAAACCTTCCTGAGTCATTTTTTTTTTAAAACATTGAAGTCAGTCCTCTGGTTTAACAAGAAGGACAAAGAAAGTAGTTTTTTTATTTATAGGTTAGGCATACATTACAATATGTTGACACGTTTGGCTAAACAAAGTACGACGGAGGATTAGGGCCACGTTGAAAAACATTTTTTATATTTTATTTTGAGATTAAAGTCGTAAATTTACGAGAATAAAGTCGTAAATTTACGAATTTAATCTCGTAAATTTACGACTTTAATCTCAATTCTTTTTTTTCTTTTTTTTTTAACGTGGCCCTAATCCTCTGTCGTAACAAAGTGATGCATACAAGCAGCTTAAATTAATTTGTAACATTAATTTGTAACATGTGCCTAGCCTGGATAACAAAATTTGACAATTTAGAAAGGCTAACTTTTGAAAAAATAAGTTCTGTCTGATCACTAACTTTTAAAATGAGTGGTGTGTGGATATTGGTGCATTCAAGGGTAATTCTAATTCTCACATAATTCAAAAAACCACAATCGAGTTGAAGGTTTTGTAAATAATTGAATCTTAAAAATAAATAGGCCTATATTCATTTAAAAAAAAAGAAGCTTTATTTGTTGTGTTTACCTATTTGGGAGGGTCGGTCCACACTGGTCTTTGTGCTGGTTGCCATTTTTCCAGGGGGAAGCTGAAGGCATCACAAAAACCCTGATCCATTGATCCGGGGATCCAGGCGCCGGTAGGACTCTTGTGTGTTTCCACGCCTCCCACTTTCACCCCCATTGTGGTGAATCTCCGGCTCACACACACTTTGCCAGACTTCCAGGAGTTGTGGAGCGGCTGGCTGAAGACGGAACACAGACAACTTTAAAAAAAAAAAAGAAAAAAGAAAAGAGAAAACATCTCCTCTTTCACGCATGGATCTACTTTCTTCTCTCATGGGATTTCAAGGAGTTGCAATTGTTTGCGCTGCTGGAAATGTTGGAGACTTTTGCCGGAGAGAAAACGCACACGTTCCCGACGCTGCTGCTGCGAAGTTGTAAAAAGTAGTTTCCCTTGATTTTTTTTTTTTCCTCCTGCCTGTAGTTCAGGACTTCGTGTTTCTCCTCCTGCCTGTAGACCCACAGCCATCATGGCGAGGCGGGCAGGCGAGACGCGTCTGGTTTTGACGCCGAATACGCGCGCCGCTTTCCGGATTAACCACCTCGGGTTTCACCGGGGCTTGTTGGCTTTCTCGTGGAGCCTCGTTTTCATCTGCTCGGCTCTTTCTTGTGGATATTGCGCAGCCGAGTCGGAGTTTTCCATCCTGGAGGAAGCGCAAGTTTTGGCCGACCAGATGAAAAAGCTCTCCTCTCAGGAGCTGGGAGTCTTCCCCATGCAGGTAAACGTGGAGATGTAATGTTTAAAATCTTACCCCGTGTTTATTTCTGCGATATCCTTGCGCCACAGCGAGTTTTAAAGACCTGCAACGTGAATGTCAAAAAAAAAAAAGCCTAAACACCCAAATGAATGTAGCATAATAACCTGGGTTGCAGCATTAGTTGACAGAAATGTTTGGATACAATAAGCTCCTGTTGTGTTGCTCAGTGTTGCAGTGCAACAACAGGCGCTTTGAAGTTAGGACGTCCTTATCTGGGGCATCAGCACGCTGGAGGTTTTGCTGTTCTGGGCGGCTTGTGTTTCACCTTCATTATTCCCTAATCTGGTTAAAAGCACGATTTGACAAAAGATCTGACATTAACACATTTATTACGAGTGTGTGTGTGTGTGTGTGTGTGTGTGTGTGTGTGATTGAAAGGTGTGTAAACTGTCACCTAAAGAGATCATCCAAAGGAATAGCCTACACTTTGAAGGTGCATTTTATTGTAGGCTATTTTCTTAAAAAAAGGAAGTTTGAAAAAGCGTTTTCCCCCATATGTCCCCAGCTGATTCTGTTTGTTGTGATATGTGCCAAGATTTCAGATGTATTTATTCCTGGTGATAAAAGATGAACCTGTGCCAATGTGCAGATGCAAACGATCATTTCAATTCACATGCATCTGCCTCACACTGTGTCTGTGTCTGTGTCTGTGCTGCTATCAAATAACAGGAACATTTCCACTATCACTAAAGTTGGCTGCAGCCCACAGGCCCAATCTACAAAATCAGCCTTTAAAAAAAAAAAATGACACTTGCTTAAACACAGGCATTAAATGATAACGTCATAACCAGCAGCAGCTACTCAGAGCTTCATCTTAACAGTAGTTTGTAATCATTTGGTTTTCAAGCTGTCGAGAAAAATCTGTCACAAGCTCCCAGTGTTAAGGTTGTTGTTTTCACATGACAGGGATAAATATACTCGAATGACAATGGTGTTATATAGGGAGATTACAGAGAATCGTTGACGCTGTAGTCACATCTTTTTCGCTTGGTCGATGGCTAAAATGCCGATTCGCCAATCAAAACGGAGTAGGCCTGACATATGTGTGTTTGAGAGGTGAAATGTGTTAGTTTTGTGTTTCCTTTCCTGTCAGAAATACAACACCTCATTTACTGGCCAGACACCACATGGTTTTGATTAGTGTATCCACCATAAAACTACACACACACTTTGATTCATCATTGATTTAAGAGATGAAATAGTTGGACAATCTGTGCATTAGAATGACAGTTTGACAAATCAATGAAACGTACAAAATTAGAGTCAATCAGATGAACTCATTATTCAAAAGTATTCGACTCAAATGTCTCATTAGTCAGACAAATAATCATATTTACCAAATTGTTACAGACATGATTCATATTTTTTTGGCTAGTCGATTTATGTATCATTAGAGAAAAATAATAAGCAGATAATTTAATTAGGTAATAGTTTTTACATCTTGGACAGGTTTTGAACCCCCGGTGTGAACACGGTGAAAACCCTCTTTGCCATGTCCATGGGTGCAGAGGTTCACCGAGCCACCAAATGGCAGGGGGTGCAGGGTGCTGGGTGCTGCAGGGTGCGAGAGGGGTGTTTTACACTTCAGAGGCAGATGCGCTCTGAACACAGAGGCGAGGCAGCAGGGGGGCCCTGCCCCCATTTGGTGTTTCATCTCCTCTGCTTCCACACTGCGCTTGCCTTCATCCCCGGCTCTGGGAGTCTGCTTTGAGGTCTTCCTCTGATCCCTCTGGATCCGCCTTTGTCACCGCTCATCCCTCCCTGAGCTCCAGCCTGTGCTCGCTTTTTCTGTTCCATCATTCTCTCTGCTGTTTCTACACTCATATTATTCTTGTGTTTTGCTCTTGCTGATGCATACAGTAAAAATATTCCCCCTCCTTTTACTCATTTAGGAGTGCGTCAATGCGGTGCAGATGTGTAGAAAATCGTAAATAATTTTGACATCTTTTCATACACTCCCTTTCTCATTTCGATTTTCGTGCAGCCCCCTGCGGATTATTGATGAAAATATTCACTGAGCCTGCTTCCCCCTGTCGCTGTGAGAAACCAGTTTTTGATCATGTTGTTGGACAAGCTGTGAAAATCTGGCTTGGCGTGAAGCTAATGTTACTTTGATTGAAGCGGTTCATTTCATGGACTTTTTTCAGAGCGCTTTTTTCCGCCAAATGTAAGAGATTTGCATCCAGTAAAAACAGTCAACATCTGCCCACGAAAACCACTGCAGGAATCTGTGGGCCATGCAGTCTGTGTGGACACCTGCTCCGATGCTCTGATGTGGCTTGACTCACAGTCTGCACATGTGTCTGCTGGACTACTCCTCAAATGATCAGTCTTTCTTTTTAGCCTTTTTTTTTCCTGTTTTAAGGAGGCAGTGATTTTCCACATTAAGATTTTGACCTTCCCTCTCCAAACAAGTCTTGAGTTGAACATTGATTTCTGTTTTATTAGCTCTCTGAAACCTTTCGCAAATTTGAAGCTGTACATTTTATCGGACTACATCTGAGGGCATCTATCAAGCGAGCGTCTCACCATCACCCTTTAAAACGTAATTCTACCCCTTCTCTGCTCCACCCCTCATTCTGTGGTGGATGTGTAATGTGAGGCTTTCCTTGTTACTATCTGTGAGTCACTGGGTCAACTTTGTTCAATCTGTCGTTCAAGGCTTTATATGCGATCCAGCAGATGTCGCCCTTGAGCACCAGCATGAAACCAAAACAACTTGCGCTGCATTGTTGTGTTAGCATGCTAATGCTAGCGATCTTTATTATGCTGGTATCTTCACACTGCATGTAAATTTACCTGAAATGAGCGTGATCTAGAAACACAGTTAAGCAGTGAGTACAGGATGTTATTCTTCTTTTCTCTAGTCCCTCAATTAAACAACTTTTATACACGAGGGGAGGAGTCAGCCGGCCGTCCTGGCGATGTAAACAAAGTGAAGATAGGACTCTGAAAACTCTGAAAACATCACAGACAGTGGGACTCGGGTGTTACACCCATTGTAGACAGTCATGACTCACAGAGTTATTTTCAGAGGATATACTTGATTTATATTATATTTAATTGTGAAAAATCACATAGAAAGACTTTAAGTTACTTGATTGTCAGGGATCATGGGGGGGGGAGAGGGGTGTACAGTCTATACTCTGTATCAGGTCAACTTCTCAGATTAGTTTTAAGTTTAACAGTTAAAGGCATTCTGCAAAAATATTTTTAATTGATATAGTTTTCAGGAAATCTGTTCATCTCCCTCGCCTTTTGGGATATTTTTTTCTAAATTTCTATTTCTTGATCGTTAATTTTCGTTGGTAAAAATGAGCTTTACGAGAAGTAAGGTGGCTGAGGAAATTGGTCAAACTTGCAGGAAAAAAATGACAATGCAGAATTTGCAGGGATTGGTTACGTTTAGCCAGGATCAGGACATTACTACTTCCTGAAGGAACTATGAAACAGAGAAATAGATCAAATGCTCTTGTTTTAGCAGCCATAACTTTAAACCGCTCTGTTATATTTCAGATAAAATGTTTACGTCGAGTAAACAGTAACTGTTCTCTAACTTGAAAAATTACCTGATGACCAATTCATTACAATGCAAGTACAATAATGGGCTCTATGGAGATAAGCATTGGGGACATATTGAGGTTTTCTCTATATTTCTCTGTGAGGTATTTTGTACATTAAGTACATTTCACACTGTGAAATGTCAGATCAGTTTCCCATCATTACCATATCACATGTTCCTTCTTAATTATTTACTCATTTAAAGCCTGAAAGTGATGAGTCATCACTAATGCAGTTTTCTGGTTGTGTATTGGAGCTGTGCAGCAACGGCTTACTCTCTTAGGAGCTGAGTGTTCTCGGTGTATAATCAGAAAGTTTAGACTATTATTCAGAAATAATTTCACGTCACTCTGAATAATTTATGATGCTGATGTCTTCCATGGGACCGTCAATAGTTTTTTGTAAAAAGGATCAGTCTCTGTAGTATGAAACTAATGGTGGATTTCATGTCATGTTCACTGCTTACCATGGGAGCTTTTAATCACCACTGTGGACTAAAGCATGGATGTAAACACAGATTATAATCTCTTTTCTGTACCGACCTATTGCCGTCATGTTTCTAGCTAAAGTTGTAGCAACAAACAGAAAACAGAGTATGGAAATGAGATGGTATTTAATCCCAGTTGGCTGATTTTTCACAAAGGAAATTTCCCCCTGTTTGTTTTAAGGGTCTTAAATCCATGGAGAAGTGTGGTTTGTTATTGAGGCTGGCCTGTCCGGTGTCCCCCGGCCCGCTAATTGAATATTGATCGTAAAATTTCAGTTTTGCGCAGGGAAGAAGAAAATTGGGGTTGCTCTAGTTTTGGCTTGAGTGTGTGATTTTTCTGGGTTGGCTTTGGTCCAAAGGGAAACACCAGTGGAGAGAAAATCACAGTACACATTTCCTACTTTGCAGTTTTCCACATTTACTAGACATTTTGATGAGGGATGTTGTAACATTAATCTATTTCTTGGCTGATTAGGTGGTGTTTTTTTTATCTTTTCTTCAATTTTTATTAAATCACATGCAGAGGAGGGTTAGCGGATGTACAGCAGGACATCAGAATTCCTGCTTGGTTCTCTGCAGCACGGCTTCAAAGCCTTCTTACCTCTTTCTGCATTGGCGGCATGGCTGTGTGCTCAAACAGTCAAGGTTATCATGAGCCTCACACAGATCCTCTGCTGCATGTGGGAATATCACTAACTCTCATTTATTCTCTCTTTAAGACTTTAAGGCAGTAGTAAACATGGTAAACGTATCTTTCATGAGGTTGATTGCATGCTCAGTTGAACAGAAAGTCTGTGTTATATTGAGCCTGCAGGTTCTTTGACGGGAAAGACAGAGCACATGCAACATTTTTCTTCACAATGAAAGCTCATCTAAAGGGCAAATGAACATCTCCAAACACATTCCTGCACTT